AGAGACAGAGGAGGGGGTGAGGTTGGGGGGCGGGGGGGGGGAGTATTGATGACGGGGAAGAGAGACATGATACAACCATTACTGGGATACTGAGGCGACCAGCCATGGCGTGGGGCCCTCTGTCTCACTCTGCTGGGGGTGAGGGGATGGTTCTCAGATGTAAGGGAGAGAGAGAGAGAGAGAGAGAGAGGTGTGTTTCTCAGTTGCATGAAGGAGAGAAGAAGGGCAAAGAGAGCAAAGGGTGAATAAGGGAGAATGAAGGAGGAGATTAGAAAGGAACGGAGAGATAGAAGGAGGAAATGTAAATGTATGTGAAAAAACAAATATAACTACACACTAATGAAGAATGTCATACAGGCTGGTGTTGATTGGCCAGTATTTTATGTGTGTATTTTGTTGACGTGTTACAGGTTGATGTTGATTGGCCACTAATTTGTGTGTGTGTTTCGCATCACTTCCCCTTCATATTTAAAGTTTGGTTTCCCGTTTTTTATGTACCTTGGTTCCCGTTTTTTGTTACCTTACCTTAGTTTCCCGTTTTCTATAGACCTTAGCTTTTTATTTTATTTTGTTTACCTGGTCTTTCCATTTTCTATATTTCACCTGAGTTTTCCATATACGTGATTTGATATTCCAGTTTACATTTATCTACGTTTTCCACTTATTAATTTACTATACATGATTTATTATATAGTTCTAATTTCCCATTCTCTATATACCTTAACTTCTATTTTAAATATATATCCAATAGCCTATTTTTTATACAAACTGGGTTTTTGCTTTTCTATATCTGACAGTCTGATATAATTTATTTATAGGGAACCTTTGGAAAAATTGACATTCCAATAACACAGAGAGAAAAAAAATGCCATGTTATGATTGGCCGGTGAAAAATGCCACGTTATGATTGGTTGGTGAAAAATGCCACATTATGATTGGCTCGTGAGTTTGATGGCTGCTTGAAAGTTATCTGATTGTTTTTTGTTTTGTTTTTTGTGTGTTTGGGAAATCGGTTGAGAGGGATGGTGTTCTGATCTGATCTATTGGCTCCTTGATGTGTGTGTGTGTGTGTGTGTGTGTGTGTGTGTGTGTGTGTGTGTGTGTGTGTGTGTGTGTGTGTCTGTGTGTGTGTGTGTGTGTGGTTTGGCTTAAATCAACTAGTTATGTAAATTTTTTCGATTTTTAGTTACGAGGAAAATTCGACGTACGTAGCTATGTGAATCTATCTTTGTATAGTACCTAACCTAACGTCAACAACATAAGTGCGTTTTATGCCTCCAGTTACGTTTAAAAAGTCATCGAACGAATATTTGTGAATCTTGGCCACTCAATACATCATCTTTCCAAAACATTTCACCCGAAAACTATCAATCGTATGCAAATGACCCCGGCGTCCTTAAGCTGATATATTACTAGTGCATCCGTCTGTCAGGTTGGTAACAAGGGAGAGGGGATGGTCTGCCCTCTCTATGCTATTTATCTTGGTAGACAACTTATAAAAATGATATATACCACTGTATTTCAGGGTATGTTTTAGGAGACAGAATTACACTGGCAGGGTACCTTAACTAGATTACATTCTTATAGCATCAGTTAGGAGGCAAATTACAATGAGATATTACCTTAACTAGATACTGTACGTTCTCTTACCGCTAGTTAGAAGACAAAATTACGCTGAGACACTACCTTAACTAGATTACATTCTCATAGCACTAGTTAGGAGACATAATTAACCCACATAATCTTCATAACTCAAGTCTGAAATTAATCCACATCAAGAGTAGGCAACTGTATAAATGAACTTGTTATAAGACCAACGAGAAATGATGACTACTGTTGGAGGTACGAGAGATGATGACTACTGCTGGAGGTACGAGAAATGATAACTACTGCTGGAGGTACGAGAAATGATGACTACTGTTGGAGGTACGAGAGATGATAACTACTGCTGGAGGTACGAGAGATGATAACTACTGCTGGAGGTGTTGACGTAAGAGACGAAGACCTCATAAGTGTTTGGTTTTCTGGGTTATGGATTATTGTTGTTCTTTGTATAATAATATTTTATCATGATTAATAACCTCACTATGAGAGTCGTACTGTATGGTTAGGGATGGATGGATGTCTGGCACCTGGTTGATATAGGTTCGACGCACATCTTCCGACACTGGTGGTTCATTCGTTGTTTCATCGGGGTTTTTTGTGGGTTTACTTACAGTGTTCCGGTACTATTTGTTCACCATTGGTTCATGTGTAGAATCCCGGTACAATGGGTTCGCTAGTTCATTAATTCCTTTTTTGCCTAATTCACTCGGGTAACAATGCTTCTATGTGGTGAAGAAAAGTCGAACTTGGTATATATATCCTAACCTCTCCTAACCTAACCTAACCTATCCTAACCTAACCTAACCTAATCTAATCAAACCTAACCTAACATGAATAATTAATATAACCTAAGCTTACCACAAAGAACCTCCCAGAACGGTAAAGTTCCCATATCATAAAGTTAACATCCTCGTAAAAAATAATGATCGGATCTTGCCTAATTATCAAACTCACTTAAGCAGGAAGGATAGCTCACTGATGCAGACAAGACGGCCACAATTATGACAGGCGTGAATAAGACGGGCGTGAATAAGACGGGCGTGAATAAGACGGGCGTGAATAAGACGGGCGTGATTAAGACGGGCGTGAATAAGACGGACCGCAATGCCATAACACCTCACGAATTCAAGCGACCACTTCCCCAACACACACACAGAGAATTTCCAAAGCTTAGCACAGGACAGCAGCACTCAACCTTGGTATTAATCACGTGTTTGTGTGTGTCACAGTGGTGCTCGTAAGGCGTCGCTAAGTATGAACACAATTTCAGCTTAGTCAAAGAATTACGAGAATCACAGGAAAATATCACGACTCGCCCGGGTGAAAAATCCTTCTCGTTCGTGAGTTATGATTCGCCTTGTGTGTCCCAGCCTCGGGATTCTTAAAGTTCGTTCTTCTATTCTTCTTTTTCCTCCTCTTCTTCTTCTCTTCCTTCTTCTCCTCCTTCTTCTTCCTCTTCTCTTCCTCCCCCTCCTCCTTCTTCTTCTTCTTCTCCCACACTTCTTTCGTCACTTCCCCACCTCGTCTCCTCCTCAGCACGGCGTTAGTCCACTACTGCTACACAGGAACAACTCTATACACTAACCCACTCCAGTAATAATCCAATAATGTCTTCCCTATTGTAGACCCTTTGGCACTCTGCCCCGTCAGCTAGTAGCACCGTGACCTAACTGGCACTAGGTAGGGTAGGTTGACTGGAGTTTACACATTAAAGGCACTATTCAGAGACTATAGTTGGCACTCAGTGAATCAGGTACTACTACTACTACTATTACAATGACTACCATCACAATTGTAACTACTTCATGCATTATTAACGCCACCACCTGCATTACCACAACAACAACAACCACCATTAATATCATAACTACATAACTATCACTACCACCGAAGATGCAGGGAGAGAGAGAGAGAGAGAGAGAGAGAGAGAGAGAGAGAGAGAGAGAGAGAGAGTCACCCTTGGAGGTAAATGATAGTAGAGACAAACAGTTACTCAAATACCATTGATGCTTGCTAGCCAATCATAGGGCGCCAGGTATGTATCTGGATGTTGTGTTTCTTAAAGCTAATATGTAGAGAAGAGAGTAGGAGAAAGAAGGAAGAAGGTAGAGAAGATAGTAAGAAAAAGAAAGAAAGAAAGAAAGAAAGAAAGAAAGAAAGAAAGAAAGAAAGAAAAGGAGGACGGAAGAGAAAGAGTTGGCAGACAAGGAAAATGCGTGAGACTTTACCATGAAGGAACTGAGAGCCCCAGGAGCGTGAGATAGCCTAAGATTTAATTCCTACCTCCCAAGTCTCAGTGTTCCTCGTTGTGGCCACTTTTACCAACTCGTGAGCTTCTTAATTGTCAGGCAGTCATTTAGGATTGCTTTAGCTCTCAGGGCCAAGTTGGTTGGGAGAGACCGTGAGGTGGAATTAGTTAGGTTAGGTTTTAAAGTTTTACGGGTTGTGGTTTTGTCCAGTTCGTGTTTGATACTGGTATACAAAGAGGGTGAGTTTTGTTTGATACTGGTGTACAACGGGAATGGATCTTGTTTGATACTAGTATAGAACGTGGGTGGAATTCGTTTCATACTTGTATACAACGGGTATGGATTATTCACCACCACCACCACCACCACCACCACCACTACTACCACCACCACTACTACTACTACTACTACTACTACCATCACCACCACTATCACTACCACCACCCCATCACTCACCACTCACCACCAAGCTGCCCGGTCTGTATCACCAAGTATGCAAATCAGCTTGATAAATACTCCCTCCCATCACCCATCCTAATTACAGTCGATTTTTTCTGGGTAGGGAGGGTGGGCGGGGTGGGGAGGGTGGGCGGGGTGGGGAGGGATTTGTGTGGATAGATGGAGTGAGGGAGATTAATCAACAGAGGACTAGGGGAGGAAAGGAATAGGTTACCCTGGGTATGGGCTAGGGGATGAGAGGGGAGGTAGGAGATAGGTTAAGGTGGGTTAGGATGGTGTTAGTGAGTGGGAGTAGAGTGGGAAAGAGAGGCTTGATATTCATGGGTTATTTACTTTTGGTTGTGTATTTTTCTGTGGTTGCTTGGGGTGTAGGGTCGTTTGGGGAGGTGTAGAGACGTGGTCGGGATTCTAGGACGTGTGGTGGTTCTGAGGACGTGTGGTCGTGGTTCTAGGGACGTGTGGTCATGGTTCTGAGGACGTGTGGTCGGTTCTAGGGACGTGTGCTGGTTCTGGAGGACGTGGGTCGTGGCTTCTGAGGACGTGTGGTCGTGGTTCTGGAGGACGTGTGGTCGTGGTTCTGAGAACGTGTTTACGCCCATCAGCTGATTTATGTTTTGATAGATCACTCAGATTGCTTCTCTCTCTCTCTCTCTCTCTCTCAACAGCGCCCCCTTGTACCCCTGACAGATGTGGTTGGATTACAGCTTACAGTGGAATGCGTCAGACTTCGGCAACATCCAGGTAATCCGTTTACCTGCCGACAAGCTCTGGAAACCGGACATTATCTTATATAACAAGTGAGTGGGTCTTAGCTGCCGTAGAGAGATAGATAGATAGATAGATAGATAGATAGACAGATAGATAGATAGATAGATAAGAGACTGAGCTAAAAGAGACAGATAGGTAGAGAGAAAGAGACAGGCAGAAAGAGATAGAAATAGACAGACGTTTAGGTATTCTAATGGGTAAAATGGGGGGTTACTGGTCCATTAAGGGGTACTACAGGTCCATTAAGGGGTACTATAGCTCCATTAAGGGGTACTACAGCTCCTCTAATGGATGCTAATGGCGTCTTCAGTCTCCCGCTTCACGCAGCTGATGGTGGAATACGAAACCGAGATAATGGTGATGTAAACATTGGTCAGCTGATTTGTGACGTCACCTTAAAAATTCCACCCTGATTTTCCCGGATTTCTATGGTATGTCCCTTTTCTTGATCGTATAGATGTGACGTCACGGGGAAAAACTTCTATTACGTCATTATTTGCAGGAACAAGTAACCTTAGAAATGCGTGACGTAATTAAGCTGGTAGGGACAGGACACAGGGTATTGTATTGTTGTATTAAGCTGGTAGAGACAGGACACAGGGTATTGTATTGTTGTATTAAGCTGGTAGAGACAGGGCACAGGGTATTGTATTGTTGTATAAAGCTGGTAGAGACAGGATAGAAGGCAATGTGTCGTGTTATTGTGGCGTGACGGAAGGTTCGTGGCTCGGTATTGAAGTGTAAACAAACGAGAAATGGTGTGTGGCTACCATCAATCTCTTGCCCACCACCACAGCCACGACCCCCCCCCCACGATTTCACTCACGACCACCCATACGACCGACCACCACGACCCATCACCACAGTTTGGTCAGTTATATTCGATTAGGTTAGGTTGGGTTAGATTAGGTTAGGTTAGGTTAGATTAGGTTAGGTTAGGTTAGATTAGGTTAGGTTAGGTTAGCTTGGGTTAGATTAGGTTAGGTTAGGTTAGATTAGGTTAGATTAGGTTAGATTAGGTATCTCCTGTTTATAATACTAACACACGTATCTCTTTTCTCTCTCCCACCACCACCACCACCACCCTTACCCCCTTCACCCCCTCACCACCACCCTCACTACCACCACTACCACCACCAGCGCTGACAGCCAATACAACAACGCCATCCTGAGCACCAACATCATCGTCACCGCAGATGGCAACGTCACCTGGCTGTCGTCCGCCATCTTTAGGTCCTCTTGTTCCATCAACGTCGAGTTCTTCCCCTTTGACGAGCAGAAGTGCGTCATGAAGTTCGCCTCCTGGACCTACGACGGCTTTCAGGTACGTGTTAAGAGTAGATAGTGGGTAGATGGAAGTAGATAGTGGGTAGATGGAAGTAGATAATGGGTAGATGGAAGTAGATAGTGGGTAGATTGGTAGTAGGTGGATAGGTATTCCTTTCTTTGACGAGTAGAAGTGTGTCAACAAGTTCTCCTCCTCGACCTATGGCAGTTTCCAGGCCATGATCCTTAACCTAGAGAGAGATGGCCATGACCCTGACCTAGAGAGAGAGAGAGATGGCCATGACCCTGACCTAGAGAGAGAGAGAGATGGCCATGACCCTGACCTAGAGAGAGAGAGAGATGGCCATGACCCGGACCTAGAGAGAGAGAGAGATGGCCAAGGCCTTTGAGACAGAGAAAGAGAAAACATCAAAAGATTCATTAGTCAACCATCGTCATGTGCCCCGTCATTAAGAAATTCAGACACGCCATTATGCTCCTTTAATAACCCTCTATGGTAACTCTACCTCGGGGAATGTCAACAACAACAAGACTCTCTCATTAACCTAACCTAACCTAACGGATCATCAAGAAACAAAACAATCTTTGGAGGAATATTTTCTTATCAAAACACTCTGGTGATGATAAAAAAATGACTCAAAATATTCGTGTTTTTCCCTGTTTGTGTAATTGAGGAAAAATCGGGTTTTTTTTTTTAGTAATTGAGGGAAAAAATTGAATTCCCATTTTCTGTATAAAATAAAAAACGAGGGATTTATTTTTTTAATAAAGCCGAAAGCCTGTAGTCCTAAGATAGGATTTTAAACCTTGGATAAAACCAACGTTTGGCTTTATTTTCATCCGAGTCTCAGCACTGTCTTAATTTCTATCCCCATACCAAACCCCACCCCACCCCACCCCCACCCCCACCCCACCCCACCCCACCCACACCCCCAACCCACCCCACCCCTACCCCACCCCAACCCAACCCAACCCAACCCACCCACACCACACACCCCACCCCACCTCCACCCCCACCTCCACCCCAACCCCACCCCACCCCACCCCAACCCAAAACCCAACCCAACCCAACCTAACCCAACCCAACCTAACCCAACCCACTCCACACTCCCCACCCCACCCCCACCCCACCCACACCCCCACACCCCAACCCACCCCACCCTACCCCACCCCAACCCAACCCAACCTGCCCAATCCCACCCCCACCTCCACCCCACTCACCCCAACCCCACTCCCACCCACCCTCCCAACCCAACCCAACCACCCAACCTAACCCAACCTTCCACCCACATTGACCCACCTCACCCCAAAACTCTGGACTTCTTTCGGCCGGAATCAATTACACGACACGGAAAAATTGTCTCGAGTTTGCCGGGGAAGTGTAGAGACTTGAGTTGGATCCAGACCTCAGAGATAATGAAGACTGGTGATTGTGTTGATGCCTGCAGGTAAGTAGGTGACGACTGGTGATTGTGTTGATGCCTGCAGGTAAGTAGGTGGCGACCGGTGATTGTGTTGATGCCTGCAGGTAAGTAGGTGACGACCGGTGATTGTGTTGATGCCTGCAGGTAAGTAGGTGACGACTGGTGATTGTGTTGATGCCTGCAGGTAAGTAGGTGGCGACCGGTGATTGTGTTGATGCCTGCAGGTAAGTAGGTGACGACCGGTGATTGTGTTGATGCCTGCAGGTAAGTAGGTGATTGTGGCCGCCAGTTCCTGCACTATATACAGATGTGGTTTCAAGTGGTGATGTTTAATATAATTTCTTCAGGTTCCTCCAATTGCGTCAAACCTTTCTTTTACCTCCCCTTCCCTCCCCTCCCTTCTTCCTTCCTCTCCCTTCACCCTCCCCTTCTTCTCATCCCTCCTCCCTTCTCTCCCTCCCCCTCTCCCCCTCCCCTCCCCAGTGTCCATCAGGGGAGTTTCATGGTAATTAGACTCGGCAGTTCCCTAGAGGACGAGAGCGCTAGTTTGTGGGGAGTTAGTGAGAGCGAAAGAGGGGAGGAAGTGAGGCGTTGGGAGAAGGAGGTGATGTGGTTGGGGAGGGGAAGGTTATCAGGGGAGGGAAGATTACCTGGAGAAGAGGACAACTAGCTGGGGAGGGGAGAATTAGCTGGGGAGAGGAAAGGCTACCCAGTGGTGGGGAGGAAATGATAAAAACTTAAAATAGAAAAAACAAAAACAAATTCATCATCAAGGATTACCGTGAGAAATTAAATTAGTTCTTCCTTGAGGGTAATACTTGAACCCCTCCTCCTAGTCGTCTGTCCTCGAGGCCTGAAGTTTTTGTAGTGTGTGTTGAGGGGATCGCAGCGCCGGCCGCCAGCTTAAAGACAAATAAAAAAGTAAAGAAAAGTTAATCTCATCTGCCTAATTAATGACAATAAGATTAATTTATCTCTTGAATGGTGTTATATTCGAGCACACACACACACACACACACACACACACACACCAGGTGGGCTTCTCGTCACCACGGGAAAATTTTGTTGGGGAAATAAAACTTAAAACTTATAGTCATTTGTGAAGTAAGTTTTTTTTTTAATTTATTACATACAGGTGGGGAAAAATATTGTGTTATATACCTGTAATTTTATCATCAAGGTGTCGGTGTTGTGAATAGATGGACGCTGTACTGTTATTGTTACCTTTCGTGTGATAATTTTCATAACCTGGGGGACATTAATTATGAGACAAAAAGCTCACGTATCTCAGTAGAATAAGGGAGAGGTGTGGTAGGAGAGGAGAGGAGAGGAATGAGTGTGGAGGAAAGGGATAGTGTGCAAGTATGTGGAAGAGAAAGAAGAATAAGAAGAACTGATAGAGTGATAATGTTTGGAAGAGGAGGAGGAGTATAATGAGAGTGGTGGAGGGGTGGAGTGTGGAGTGGAGTGGAGTGTGGAGTGGGGTAACAGGAGCCGAGAAAGAGTGGAGAGGAGGGGGAAGGAGAGGAGAGAAAGAGGCACATGTCTCGTAAACACTTGCTCACTCCCACTCACTTTTCTGGTCATTCACTCACCCGTGTAACGCGATGCAACTCCTGCTAGCTATACCTTCCCTCCCTCCCTACCCTTCCTCCTCCTCCCTTCTTCCTCCCTCTCCTCCTTCCTCCCTCCCTTCCTCCTCCCTCCCTCCTCCTCCTCCCTCCCTCCCTCCCTCCTCCCTCCCTCCCTCCCTCCCTCCTCCCCCTCCTCCCTCCCTCCCTCCCTCCTCCCTCCCCCTCCCTCCCTCCCTCCCTCCCTCCCTAGTCCTCGGTGATTCCTGTGGCTTAAAGGCTCCATGTCTGGGGTTCAAAGATAGTACGACACACACACACACACACACACACACACACACACACACACACACACACACACACACACACACACACACACACACACACACACAGGGTTAAACACTGTAGGCAGGCAGATGATGGAAGTGAACCTCCTACTTATTTACACCATCAAAGTAAACACAGCCTAATGAAAGTGTGTGTGTGTGTGTGTGTGTGTGTGTCCTTAGATTATTATACCCCGCCCTTGGGTTGTGATGGTCGAGTGTTGCTTTCGTATTCGCGATTGTTATCTGAAAATTGTTTGTGTTTTTGTTGTTTGACGATCTCTCTCTCTCTCTCTCTCTCTCTCATTGATTGCCAATACCATACCCATCACCGGGAGCCAACACACCCCTAGGCCTATACCAATATTGGAGGCCTATAGCTGAAAATGATGCTGATGATGATGATGATGATGATGATAATTATAATGGTAATGACAATGATGATGATGGTGATAATAATAATGATGATGATGTTAATAATGATGATGATGTTAATAATGATGATGATGATGATGTTCTGTGTTGTTCTCAGAGGCTTAATTAACCTGTCAAGACTGGAACTCTTCTCGTCTTGATTAAAGTTGAGGGCTAATTACAATTTCTTATATGAATTCAAATTTATTCATAGAGAAAAAAAAATCACTTTTTTTTTAATCTTGTTTTCATCATAATATTGGGAATTAATTTTTTTCTTACCTGTATAACTAAACGACCTATTTTTGAGGTGATTCAAGTGATATAATTCAGTATCTGACCTAACTTGACCCCCGACAGGTAAACTTGGTGATCCAGACAGAGGAAGGTGATCTGAGTAATTATGTGACCAATGGTGAATGGGACCTAATAGACATGATCGTGGAGAGGAACGTGGTATACTACTCGTGTTGTGAGGCGCCTTACCCTGACATAACCTACCACATCATCCTCCGCCGTCGCCCACTCTTCTACGGTCAGTGTTTCCTGGTGGTGAAGCTTGGGGTAATATGTATCTGATCTCTAACACTTTGATGTGACCTTTTATTACCTTGTTGGACCTCTACAGTGTTCAACCTGATCCTGCCGTGTGTGCTCATCACAGGCATTGCCCTCATGAGCTTTTACATGCCCAGCGACTCCGGGGAGAAGGTCACCCTGGGCATCACCACACTCCTCTCCATGACTGTCTTCCTCATGGTCATTGGCGAGTCTATGCCGCCCACCTCCGAGAAGCTTCCGCTCATTGGTTAGTATGGGATAGTGGGAGGGGCACAAATGGGGCCTTTTGCTTCTGCTCATTGGTCAGTATGGGATAGTGGGAGGGGCACAAAGGGGCCCTTTGCTTCAGCTCATTGGTCAGTAAGGGATAGTGGAAGGGGCACAAATGGGGCCTTTTGCTTCTGCTCATTGGTCAGCATGGGATAGTGGAAGGGGCACAAAGGGGCCCTTTGCTTCAGCTCATTGGTCAGTAAGGGATAGTGGAAGAGGCACAAATGGGGCCTTTTGCTTCCGCTCATTGGTCAGCATGGGATAGTGGAAGGGGCACAAATGGGGCCTTTTGCTTCTGCTCATTGGTCAGTATGGGATAGTGGGAAGAGCAGATAGGGACCTTGTGTTTATGCTGATTGGTGCATTTAGAAAAGAAGGAGGAACAAATGTGTATTGTTAATGTCCCTGGTTGATGGACTAGTGATGGCTTTATTTGTGCAGAAAACACCATAGGGGTTAACCCTATGGTTAATCCCACGTATTACCACACACAGTAATCCCCCCTTATCGTACACACAGTAATCCCCCCTGGTCTTATACACAGGGTTGTACTACGGTGTCACCATCTCACTGGTATCCTTCGCCACGGGGTTGTCAGTGGTCACGCTGAACATTCACCACCGCGGCATGAGGGGCCGGGAGGTGCCTTCCTTTGTCAAGAAGGTCGTCTTCAGCTACATGGCCAAGATGATGTGTATACGCCTCGACATCCCTGATCCCATGGGCGGCCAGGGTCACAAGTTTACCAACATGAATCATCAGGTAAGTTGCTGTGTGTGTGTGTGTGTGGTCTCTTATATAAATATCCATCTTCTTGTTTGCTACATGGCCTATACCTAACACTCCCTCCCCCCTGTCTCCCCCAGGGTGAGGGGTACCCGGGGTATCGGGAGTTCGGGCCGAGTCACCTGGAAATGAGTGACAGACTACTGGACCCAGAGGTGAAATGTGAGAATGGCGGCATCCCCCCCTCCAGGTGAGTGTTGAGGTGATCATACTTCCTCCAGGTGAGTGTTGAGGTGGTCATACTTCCTCCAGGTGAGTGTTGAGGTGGTCATACTTCCTCCAGGTGAGTGTTGAGGTGGTCATACTTCCTCCAGGTGAGTGTTGAGGTGGTCATACTTCCCTCCAGGTGAGTGCGTTGAGGTGGCTCATATCTCCAGGTGAGTGCTGAGGTGGTCATACTCTCCAGGTGAGTGTTGCTGAGGTGGTCATATTCCTTCCAGGTGAGTGCTGAGGTGGTCATACTTCCTCCAGGTGAGCGTTGAGGTGGGTCATACTTCCTCCAGCTGAGGTGGTCATACTTCCTCCAGGTGAGTGCTGAGGTGGTCATACTCCTCCAGGTGAGTGTTGAGGTGGTCAGACTTCCTCCAGGTGAGTGCGTTGAGGTAATACCTCCAGGTGAGTGCTGAGGTGGTCAAGTACTTCCTCCAGGGGTGAGCGTTGAGGTGGTCATACTTCCTCCAGGTGAGTGTTGATAAGGATCATACTTCCTCCCAGGTGAGTGTTGAGGTGGCCACATTTCTCCAGGTGAGCGTTGAGGTGGTCATATTCTCCAGGGCAAAGCAAGGAGGTGGTCATACCTCCTCCAGGTGAGCGTTGGGAGGTGGTCATACTTCCTCCAGGTGAGTGTTGAGGTGGTCATACTTCCTCCAGGTGAGTGTTGAGGTGGTCATACTTCCTCCAGGTGAGTGTTGAGGTGGTCATACTTCCTCCAGGTGAGTGTTGAGGTGGTCATACTTCCTCCAGGTGAGTGTTGGGGTGGTCATACTTCCTCCAGGTGAGTGTTGAGGTGGTCATACTTCCTCCAGGTGAGTGTTGAGGTGGTCATACTTCCTTCAGGTGAGTGTTGAGGTGGTTATACTTCCTTCAGGTGAGTGTCAGGAGTGACTAGAGGGAGATAAATAAGTAAACATTGAGAGAAGGAAAGAGAGGGAGGGGAGGGGCAGAAAGCTATAAGAGGGAGAACTAAGAGAAAGAGGAAAAAGATGTGAGGGAAGAGAGGTGAGGGAGAAAGAGGGAATAGACGAAGAAGAGAGGAGGGGGAGGGACAGGTGAGATAAAGAAGAGGGAGGATGGATGTCGAGGGTGAAGAGAAGAGTGAACGGAGAATGGAATAGAGACAAGATCACGAGGCCTCAGTCTGCTCTCAAGGGAACTATCCGTCGTCTTTTTGTTGCATGGATTCCAGGAAAGAACCTCAAGTTGGTGGCCATATCTCTGTTCACAACTCTCTTTGGTATAAGTAATTAGCGTTCGTCTTATCTCGACCCTTCAAAAGCTTTATTTTCACTGCTGTTCAGAAAATAAACACAGAATTGATTATCATGACTCCAGAGGTAGAGACTAGAGGCTTGCGAGAGATGAAGAGATAATCATAACATTGGCCCGGATTCTCTTTTATCACGTCGATCAGAAGATCAGATCCTATTCAAGGAGGCTTGTCAAGCTACCATCAGGTTTTCAATACTTATACCCCAACTAATTTGAATTAACCAGTGCTCCATAACACAGAGAGGGAGTGAAGAGGGACAGGACATGGGTGGGAGAGAGATGGTAGAAGGACAAGAGAGAGACAGGATAGGGATGGGAGAGGGATAGGGGGAACGGGAGAGGGACTTTCTTTGTGAGATGAGGGAAGATTCTCTATTGAGCAAGTATGTGCTGGGCTTGAAGACGTTCCTCCAGCCCAGATTGGTTCTGTTAATGGCTCAAGAGGTCCACAATGGCTGGTGATGGACCGCGCAAGAGGTATCAACGATGTGGTCACTTTAATCACTCCCTGGTTCTTCTCTACTCCTGCCCCTTGTAACTATTCTCTTGTTTTATCTATTCCCACGATCCATTTTCTTTTGGTCTATTTATCCTTTCACTTTTTATTTTGACTTTTTCTTTATCATTAGTAAGGGAGAGAAGTTTCTTTCTTTTTAATTACGCTCAGAAGTCAACAAAATGAACAAGCAACCAATAACAACTTAGAACACAAAGGAATTTTACTTCATTAGCAAGTAGACTTTTTTTTTATGTTTTTAGCAGGCAGCAAACGTTTGATGGGTAGCGGATAATAACTCCAGTAGTGTTGAGATAAGACTATTCAATAAAGACTCATGTTTGTACAGGGTGTGGAGGAGCGGTCATATACCATCTCTGTTATTCTAAGTGTTTTGACAAGGTGGGACACATGATACGTTTCTCTGATGTGAAAGTTCGAGGAGTTTGGATAATAGATGTGTTTGTTTTGTGTGTGTGTGTGTGTGTGTGTGTGTGTGTATATGTGTGTCCAGGTAATCTTTTTGTTTTATGATTTTCCTGTAGTTTATTTACGTTTTAGAATGTTTTATCATTCTTCAAGTGACATTACAACTTAAACATACGTGATTATTGTAATATTGTTTCTTCATTATAAGTATTTGGCCAGTTTTTATATTTTTGTTGTTAATATCCTAAAGTTGATTTGATGATTTATTTTTGGAATATTATTTATGTTTTTTTTCAGCATATAATTTTTTTTTTTTTTGGTTTTGTTTAGCTTAGGGTAACCTCCTCCCAGTTACATAAGATCACACTTTATTCCCAGTTACTTTTGATCACACTTTATTCCCAGTTACTTATGATCACACTTTATTCCCAGTTACTTATGATCACACTTTATTCCCACTTTAGTTAATCTTGTATTATTTATTACTCAGTCACACATTTCTTTTTGTTTCAGTGACATTCCTCTCCTTAAGAAAACTCCTCGAACATCCAGGTATTATGTTGTTCAACAGTTCGTAAATTACTCAGGTATTCCGTACGGTTGACCTACCAACTAAATTCTAACCACTTTTGGACGATCTTAGAAGCCATTACAGTTCATGGAAATTAATTGGTTGCTGGTTGTGAAGTGGGTGACTTTACGGATGTGGCGACGCGACTCGGTTAACTACCAGTCAACTCCCACGGATTGGTATGGTTGCTGAGGATGCCAAAAGTGAGGTGAAAATAGTGGACAGGTCAATTTAAGCTTACTGTATCTACGACCCAGTTCTTTTTTTTAAGCTTTTCGAACAATTTAAAAGTTTATTCCGTAGCAAAGTAAATTTTTAGATAGAATGGAAATGTGTGTTTGAAGATAGTGTATGTATATATTGCTTGTAAATGAGTATAGAAGATTTGTAGCTGATTATGAACTGGTGGGTAAAATAGTGTCCTAATTTTTTTTATGTGAGATTATATGGTATCATTTATAACTAATACTCAGAGAAGAAAGACTTACAGTAGTTTTTTAATGAGTGATCAATTTATTCTAGTATTATACCATCCGATTATATTTCCTTACTCTTACAATTATTATTTTTTTTACATTTTGTTCAGATGAGCATTATTATTTATTTTGTTCACTTATTTTCCTTTTCTTTTCCGTTTCCCTTTTCACTCCTTGTCACAGCTCGGACATACCACTGCCACCCACAGCCCAGAACGTCTTCAAAAGGTAGCTTACGCATCATCGTGTATTAAACAGTCATTAAATAGTTGTGTAATTACTGTAACAATTATTGATAAACAGTTTAGCTCTGCCACTTTATATTGTCCTTTTTTGGACCAGGATCTTTAATTTTAATGTTTGTTTTAATATTTAGAAGGCAATTTATTAACCAAATCACTTAAGAACCTATAATATTAAACCTTAGCTAACCCAAATTATTCAGCATTTACCCTAGGGTCCACAGGTTATGTATAGGTATTTTCAAGTACAAATTAACAATGACTAAATCGGTAGATGGCTTGATAAAAAACTAAGTCATTAAACTTTAATCATAATTCAGTTGTTTTAGTTAATACATGAATAAGGTTGATAAAACACCAAAGTATTTTTCTTCATCAATTAATTCCTCATAACACAAAACACAAAGTGAATTCAAACACAAAAGGAAGATTTTTATATACTAAGACGAAATAAATTCTCAAGATGTTTTCATATTTACTGATGTTTTTTTATACAGTTTAAGAATAAATAAACTGACTTTTGACTTGTGTGCATTTGGGCAGCCAGGAGTCACCGAGGCGAAGCAGTATGAGAAGGTAACTATAATCCTTCATACTGTTGTCAGGTGTAAGTATACTCCTTCATACTGTTGTCAGGTGTAAGTATAATCCTTCATACTGTTGTCAGGTGTAAGTATAATCCTTCATACTGTTGTCAGGTGTAAGTATAATCCTTCATACTGTTGTCAGGTGTAAGTATAATCCTTCATACTGTTGTCAGGTGTAAGTATATCAGTCATACTGTTGTCATAAGATAAGTATATCCTACAGACAGTTGCCAGGTATTGCTATACAATACTTAATATTTATTATACTTGTTACGTGTATTATTGATTGAGACAAAAAATTATAGATAAAAATATAATTATGTTTCTTTAATAATTTATTGATGATTTGATAACTTGTGCTTCTTTAAGTTGTGCAGTGTTGTTTTATGTGGAGAATTATATTAACTATTTTAAGGAATAATTATGACTAAATGTCTTATAAATTAATTGAACAGTGAACTATAGCAAACATATGTACACCTATGAATTGTGATTGTTTTTAAAGGTACCAAAAGTAGGCAGAATTATTTGACAGATCGATTATTCATCTAACCTTGTCATAATTCTGCATTGTTTGTAACCGATAGTAACTTCCTGTTTGAGTTGTATCTGTCACATCTCACCTCCTGGTTATCAGTGATGAAATATATCGATGTCTGAGGCCAGTCCTTTCCATAAACAATGCACTACTCCAGCTGATTTAGTCAACTATCTGTTATTCAAAGCTATTAGTATCATTCCTCTAATTGTCTAGGAGTTATCCAGGCACTTTTAACTCTCCTCGCTTCCTCAGATTGACTGGCGGTGTCCACAGCCAACACTCGACTTCATGCCCGGCGGCTCACCCCTGCCTCGACACCTTTGAGCGGCACTTCATCAGGGTGCTCAACAAGGTGTACCAGACCATCGAGAAGAACGAGATCCGCCTCGCTGAGCAGGACCGACGTGATACTATTAAACTGGAGTGGCAGCAGGTGGCCTTAGTTGTTGACAGGTGGGTGAAGGAGCTACCTGTCAGGGAATGGGGTGATTCGGTGATGCTCGTTGACAGGTAAGGTAAAGAGGCTATCTAGGGTGGGGGCTGATTAGGTGGTCTTCATGGTTGACTGGTAGGCGAAGGAGTTGTCTAGGGTGGGAGCTGCTTCTGCTTCTGTTTAAAAGAGGAAAGTTACTGATCATGTGGTTCTTGATATCCAAAGACAGGTGAGGTGGGGGATTGAATAGATTGGATAGGTTAGGTAGATTAGATTACCCCTTGTTGTCTGTAGATTGGTGAAGGGAACATGAGAGATTAAAGGAAAATGAAGAGGCAGGAACTAATGACACACGATGATGTTATACTGTGGAGGGTCTTTGCGTAGGTCTCTCACTCCCAAAGGTCCTGGAGGTAAATAATCTATCGAAGTTTTTCTGATTGTTTTGGATACTAAGTAGGTCAGGCTGCCATATTGGTAGTGCAGTAGCATTAATAACGAATCATGTACCATAGCATTGAGGAATCGGCCAACATTCATCAATTAAAGAAAGACAATTGCTGAGGATATCAAAAGTTAATACCATTCACACTACTGGTCAAGAATTGTTGTGAAATGTATCTAAATAATTCACTTTGAAATTAGAACATATAGAATACAGTCAATATGTTGTTAAAAGTGCTCTGAGATTCTACTGTAATATGTTGCCTTAAAAAAAAAAGTTCCTGTACAAATATTTAAGAAACAGGATTCATTTGACTAGAGAGGGTATAGTTGGTGTGTGGAAGGTGGAGAGGCTATTCGTGTTAAGGGAAAAGGTTGTAGGGAATCATGATGTTGTGATGTTGTGTTGGAGATATAGCTTGAGGTGTTGTGGTTATTAGTAGGGCGGGTGTTGTGAGGGGTTGTATAATTATAGTCTGACACTGAAACTAGCTTGTATTGTATATGTATGTGTGTTTGTGTATACCTTATGTGACTTTACTGGGTGTATTTACGAGTGTATGTATGTATGTGTGTGTGTGTGTGTGTGTGTTTGTATGAGTATGAGAGTGTTTGTGTGTTTGAAAGTGCTTTAGTGTTTTCATTGTGTAAGAGAAAAGGAGAGGTGAAGAGATGGAGAAATACCCCATAATATAAACAGCGGGGCCATGCTCGACACCCCAGAGCTGACCAGTGCACCGTGTTGAGTGCTGATACCTTCAAAAATTGCTGGCCATTGTTTTGTACAACCACGATCTTTGTCCTTTGCTAACGTTTATGGCGTGGTATGAGTGTTCTACAAATACAGTTTATTTTTTACGAGTATGTTGGACACAGTTGCAAGTGACAATAGCAACACAGGGATGAAGCCGACATTTTCCGCTTTAATTATGTAAATGAGGTAGATAACCCTTTCGCTTTACAGGTCATAAGGTGGATATTTTTTTCCCCTGACGGTAGGAGTTGAGTGTGTTGTCTACATTAAAGTTGTTGTGAATTAAATACGAAAAGCAAAACGCGAATAGTGAGATGAGCTGCAGCCATGGTTGACGGAGAGTGCTTCAGTTAAGTGCTACCTTCACAGCCCTCTCCCACAACCTCTACTCCCACACCCCTACAACACCCTCCCGCCACACCCCACAACCCCGTCTCACAACACCCCACAACCCCCTCCCATACCCCAGAACCCCCTTCCACTCCCCACACCCCCTCCCACCACTCCCCACAACCCCCTCCCACACCCCCACAACCTCCTACACCCCCACAACCCCCTCCCCCAACCCCACAGCCACAAATAATGGACTCCCCGGGAACGAAAAATAACGACTTGATACTTCCCTCTTTAGCGTGGAAATAGACCCAACTTTCCCAACCTAAAACTTGTCTGAATTTAATAGAGTTAGGAACGTAATTACCTCCTTCCTTCCTTCCTTCCTTCCTTCCTTCCTTCCTTCCTTCCTTCCCTTTCACCTTCCTTCTTTTCCTTCCTTCCTTCCTTCAGTATTAAAGATATGAATAATCAACAGAGTATGAATGAAATTAATAATCAAAGAAATAAATTTCATGATCAAAACAAATAATTAAGCAAGTAAATAATCAAGAAAATACAAGGTGATCGAAAAGCCCCTATGCACCTGCAGTAATTGGTAGTCTAATTATTTACCTTCTTTTCTACTTATAACACTGTAGATATAACAAGGAACAATTATATTATTACTTATTACAGATGCACAGGTACTTTTTGATCACCATGTATAGTTTAGACAGTGTGAAAGAAAACGTGTGTGTATGTTTCCCAAAAGTGCATCTACGACCCAACAAAAATTACTGCCTACAGGTTTCAAGGAAGACATCTGTGGTATGAGAAATTCACTTGACCAAAAAAAACCTCGAGAGAAATAAGTTAATAGAGGAAGTTTATGCTTTGTCGACGTGGAGTGTTGATATGTGGAAGAGGAGGGGGGGGTTGGAACACATGGCAAGGGTGTTGACATGGTTATAGAGGATTCTGTGTTTAGTTATGGATCATCTTGTAGGATTTGATTATACTTCTTGAGAATTATAAGGTATCAGGGGGTAGTTTTCTATAATGGCAATAACAAAGGTGACTAAGAATTGAGTAATCAAATTTCTGTCTACTTTTGGTGTCGAAAGAACTGGTACTCATACTGTAAGCTGCATCTGGATGGGCCGGGTACTGTAGGCTGGGCACTGTGGGTCAGGCACTGTGGGCTAAGCACTGTGAGTTAGGCACTGTTGGTCGGGTACTGTGGGTCGGGTACTTTAGGTCAGGTACTTGTGGGCTGTCCAAAACGTCTTCTTGGTAAGTAAATCAATAAAGGTTGGCATTCATAGAGCTGACAGATGCTACTAAGGTACATGGGAAGGTATAGTAAGGTTAAGGGTAGCTGTAAATAGTATAAATCTATATTACATTATTATATTCTAATACCACAGTGTTATAAGGCATTGTGATTGGTTGGGAATCTAGGCTTATAACCATTGACCAATCAAAAATCAGCTGTTGAATTAAGTTTTTATTTAATAAGTATAGAAAGAATATATAGAGTAAAGGATTGATATACTGTACAGGTATTAGCCAAATTCTGACCCATCTTTGGCGTCGTCAGCAATCTTACTAGATCATGGTAGTTTATTGACTGCTGGTCGTTAAGTTATCACACCGCCACTCTCTTAACAACCAGTAACTAATCGACTTCCAGGAATGATGTTAGTTGCTGGAGATGTTAAAAGTGAGTTAATCTTATTCAACAGGTTTATTAATATGTATTTACGTCATTTTGTCCTTTTGTTTATTGACTTCCTCTCTTCCCCCTCCGTAGTAACATATCGTTTACATCTACAAATTTAGTGGTGTGTGTGTGATCAATGTTCTCCTTGTGTCTGTGTTATGTCTGTGTTATGTGTTGTGTCTGTGTTATGTGTTGTGTCTGTGTTATGTGTTATGTCTGTGTTATGTGTTGTGTCTGTGTTATGTGTTGTGTCTGTGTTATGTGTTATGTCTGTGTTATGTCTGTGTTATGTCTGTGTTATGTGTTGTGTCTGTGTTATTATGTGTTGTGTCTGTGTTATGTCTGTGTGTGTGTTGTGTCTGTGTTATGTCTGTGTTATGTGTTGTGTCTGTGTTATGTGTTGTGTCTGTGTTATGTGTTATGTCTGTGTTATGTGTTGCGTTTAGTGTTACAGAGTGATTCCTTGTAGTCTAAGTGTTATTTTTTAGTGTATTTTGTTGTGTGTGTGTGTGTGTGTGTGTGTGTGTGTGTGTGTGTGTGTGTGTTTTACCCATTTAACAACACACACACTATGAGCATTACTACACCACCCATTGTACATTCATCTACATACTATCATCTCCGTCCTAATTACCCCATCAGCTAAAATCTCTCCTCCTTGTTGAAATCCTCATCAATTACCACAATTCATAGAAGCTGATTGGTCGATTGCTGCTTAATGAACCAATCCACCACAGTATTCAGATGGTGATTTAACTCATTTAACCATCAGTCAACTTCACTTCTATAAATTGTTAAGGATGCCAGAAGTTATTTTAGAGTGATGGGATCAGTTAATAGGATAATGTAATTGAGATGGATATAATTCACCTGTACTCTTACCTATTATTTTACCTGTGGTCTTCGTTAACTTATACCCTTATACCCTCTAGTATCACTACTGTTTATCTTCCTTCCCTTAATGAATCTTGTTTTCTTTGTAGTTTTTGTCTAAATTGTTAGTCGTAGCGATTAATTAGCTGTTAGTGTTAGTTGTAGTCATTAGTTAGTTGTCAGTGTTATTCGTAGTCAGTAATTAGTTGTCAGTGTTAGTTTTAGATATTAAATAGATGGTAGAATTAATTGTAGTATCTAACTAATTGAATTGAAAGTGTTGGCATTTCAGTGTTGTCGTCATGTGTGTGTTTTGGAAGGTTCAGTACTGCTCATTCTACCACACACCTGTCCTGATACTTCTCATTCTACCACACACCTGTCCTGATGCTGCTCATTCTACCACACACCTGTCCTGATACTTCTCATTCTACCACACACCTGTCCTGATACTTCTCATTCTACCACACACCTGTCCTGATACTTCTCATTCTACCACACACCTGTCCTGATACTTCTCATTCTACCACACACCTGTCCTGATATTTAACATTCTACAACACACCTTTACCTGATACGTCTCATTCTACCACACCATATTCTTCTGCCATACTCCCACTACCATACCATATATTTCTACCATACCTCGAGTGCTATCTACCATACGTCGACTACCATATTCATATTTACCCACACTCTAAACACACTTAACCTCTTCCTAGCACTAACACTTAACCTTCCAAACATTATCTCCCCCTTAGCTTTTGCCCAGCACCATCTCCATCCCCTTAGCCTCTCTTCAGCACCACCTCCAACCCCCCTTAGCCTTTCAGCCTTTCTTCAGCACCACCTCCAACTCTTTTTCTCCCAGCACCATCTCCATCCCCTTAGCCTCTCTTCAGCACCACCTCCAACCCCCCTTAGCTTCTCCCCAGCACTACCTCCACCCCTGTTAGCCTCTTCCAAGCACTGTCACTTAACCTCCCCAACACCCCCTTTAACCTCCCCCCAGCACTGATGCCTAGCCTCCCCAGGTTCCTGCTGTGGGTGTTCATCATCGCCACGATCGGCGCCACCTTCGGGATACTCTACAAGTCCCCCCACACTAAACTCTTCACTGTCTGACGTCCCCCCCAAGCTTACCACCTCCACCTGTCTCGCTTCCGCTCCACAGCCACTCTTGTGCACCGTCAGTAGGTACCGAGCATGTCAGACCCCGTTGTCAGAGTGTAGCCTTGCGTCACTCTTCTGCCGGCCACGAGGTATCTGACTACTGCGCTAGGTCTGGCAGGGGAGGAGCTTACTTGTAGTCTGGTTTGTTAGGGGAGCTTGTTTTTAGTCTTTGATTGTAGCCTGTGCCTGGGGCTACTGATAGATTACCCTTTTATTATACAGTAGTTTCCTTGTAGCGTTTAGCTAAACGTTCGTAGTCTTGCTGGATGAAGCTTGGATGATAGTAAGTAGCAGTAGCTTGGCTAGGGGCTACTCCTAGTGTGATTGTTTTGTTTTATGTAGCCTGGCGAGGACACCTCATAGGTCTGGCTGAGACTCATACTGTGGCTAATGTTTAGAACTATTCGTAACCTAACTAGGAGTAGCTACTTTCTAGCTGGGATATTCCAAGCTTGCCGAGGGCTACTCCTAGTCTTACTGAACTCTTATAGCCTTATTCGGACTACTCATAGCCTGTTTGAGAATACTCTTAGATTGCGTGAAGCCACTTTAACCTCGCTGGGACTACATGTAACCTGGCTTGGGTCACTCATAGTCTGCTGTAGGTTGATCTTAGCTTAATGGAACTGGTCATAGCCTAGCTGAGGCTTCTCCTAGTCAAGCTTGGGCTATACTAATCGTACTTTGAAGATACCTATACCTTACTTGTACCCAATAACCACTCGTATTTTGACAAGGTTGGATCTATCTGTCTTTTGATAATACCTGTTCATAATCTGGTCTGGTCTACTTCCAGCCCACTGGGATTATACTGTGACTTGCTAAGACTGCTTGTAGTCTACCAAGATCTTCTCACGGTTGCTGGGATTATTCACATAACATCAATTTACACAGTTGTAGCCTGGCATAGACTACTCATAGCCCAAGTGGGATTACTGTGTGCCTGCTGGAATTGTTCGTAGCCAAAATGGAGCTATTTGTAGCCTAGCTGTAGATTCTTATAGCAGCCAGGGGCACTTGGACCTGACTAGTAAGAGTTTCTTGCAGCAACAAGAACTACTGTGGACTGGTTTCATCTGATGTAGTCTGGGAGTCTTATAGATTAGTTTTGCTTCTTGTAGCCAAACTAGAAATCTCTTACAGATTTTTTTACTTCTCGTAGCCTAATTGGGACCATTTGTTGCCTGGCTGGAATTACACAACTGGGAGAATTGTAGCTTAAATTTACACTCGTAGTGTTGGGCACTTGTCATACCCTTGGCATGTATTTCTGTGCATGACTGACCAGATATAGTGTAGCATGTGTAGGTACGCTAGAGTATACAGGAATGCTGCCGAACAACACCTGTTATATCTAGGTTTTGGTGCATAGTTCATATTATCAGCTGTATCACCTTATGTACTTATGATGTTACTAATGTCTACTGTCTGCAGCATTCAGAGAGGCTGTGTATAAAATATTTCCATTTTTTTATTTAAATAATTCTTTATTTTGATTGCTTTATCTAATTGGTTCCATTATTCAAGATATATGTCTTTTTTTAATATATTCCACTAATTCATAATATTTTTAGAAGGATTGGTGTACAGAATAATACAGAAAGACTCTGAAACTTTAATGACCAAAATCTGCTAAGTCTGATGCCAAGCTCATTGTACACCAGGCAGCGCTCCTGAAATGTATTAGATGGACAGGGGAGAAAAGTCCCCTCAGTGAGTCAGTCAGTCAGTCAGGAAAAACGTTCATAAAGCTGTAAATGCATCTGAAAATCCATTTATTTGGTATTACCTTAGATTCACGAAAGGCCACTTAGAACCATACATTAAAAAGATGACTAATAACACGGACCTATTTATCATGGTGGCACCTCAGAAATTATGCTCATCCCCTGCTGTTATAGACGTAATACTCCAGGTGTCTAGAGTGAATGATGGCGTCTAACTGGTTGATTCTCTAAACAGCGTGAGAGAGACGAATTGTTGTCAAACAATCATAGCTTAGTCTTCATGCCCACTGAGCCAATCAATGTGCAGTGTACATGTCCACTGAGCCAATCAATGTGTAGTGTACATGTCCACTGAGCCAATCAATTTTAAGTTTTAACATCATTACTGTCATCTGTCAAAAAAAATTTAAAATCATAAATCAAAATTGGGTGTATTGGCCAGTCCGATACATACCTTCCCTGACTGATTGACCTACAATGTTTTTCCCCCCGAGCGAGCTTTCTCATATACTGTTGTGGGATTCAAGATGTTTGGTTCACACTCAGGATGGAATGGAGAAAGGAAACTCACAATGTGCTCTCTATATACATGTTGTATTGGATGTACAATGCAGCTTGGTGCTGGGAAGGCAGCATGGTTACAAGCGTGATGTCGAGAGAGCTGGTTGGTGAGGACGCTCAGAGAAGGACAGCTTGTGGGTCGCCATGCTCGCCGGCGGGAGAGAGGACCGCCAGGCAGGCGGAGGAGGAGCAAGGGCCGCCAGGCAGCGGCGGAGGAGGAGGTGTGTTGCTGGCTGGTTGGTGTAGGTAGAAAGAGGCAGGTCACCACGAGGTCAGGTCTTAAATAGCGGGGGGTAGGCGTGGCTTAGTAGTTGACCCCCGCTCCGTGATGTATGGCGGCTCTGGTTGACCTAGACCACGAGGCATACACTGGGGAATTGGTGGGGTCGGCTACTCAGCGACAAACAGCGTTTGTAGGGGAGAAATCCACTACACTGTTCTCAGATACGCTGCCAGACATAAGACCAATCAACCTTGGTCAACCTTGTTTTTATGTCTGTTTATCAAGACTGTGTTTAATATCTCTCATCATTCACAGATTCCTCTTGTGGATTTTCATCATCGCTACCATCAGCTCCACTTTTGGCATCATGTATATGTCACCGCACACCAAGCTCTTCACCATGTAGTGAGGCATTCACCAGTCCATCACCAAGACACTTCACCATATAGTGAGGTGTTCCAACCCATCATCAAGCTCTTCCCCATGTTATAAAGGCGGTCACCAACCCATCACCAGGACACTTCACCAAAGTCCTTCACTATGTAGTGAGGGGCTCAGCACCATGACACTTCACCACTTATGTGGCCCTCTGACACGTAGAGACACTCCTGGTGACCCTCCATCCTCACCACCTGAGAAACTGACACGTCAACTGAGCTCTGCACACACTGTTGACATTGATGCTAAGTGAGCCAGTTTGTCACTCACGCCACAACCAGTCAGCTTCTACGAATTGCGACAGTTACCAAAAACACCAAAAATGCATGAAGCTCAGTTGATGGGTCAATTCAGAAGGAACTCCAGAAAAGACTCACACCCTGGTCTTGTACCTACTTCCACTGAATCCACAAATTATATCACAATTTACCTCCAGTAGTCTCTGGCACCTTCAGTGAGCAACAGGTATGACCATACTGTACATTCCCTGAATGTGACCCTTCCTGAGTATCCAGTCATTATGCAACTTGAGGTCATTTATGTGTAATGCTTTGTGCTCACTGAGGTTGATCTATGGAGGACAAGTGTTAGAGTGATGTGAATTTTGTTTCTGTTGCAGCAGTCAACAAGAGAGTGGATTCATTCATTAAAGTATAATATTTTCCTCTAGCAATTCCCCATGTTTCAGTTTTCTATTCTTCCTATGTACAAATACGTCTTAATTATGGGTCATTTTGCTGGAGTTCCTTAGTGTAGCGTGTAGGGGAGGTTGTCCTGAGGGATGCCAGGTCATCACTGTACAGAGTCTCTCTTATTATTATTCTCAGTCCATTTGTTTATAAATTATCCGACCATCAACCACCTCACTGTGTAGTCTTATTATGATATTCTTGATGTGAATATCATAATTGATAGTTGACCCTGATGAAGAACTTCTTGATGGGTATAGTACCATCACTCCTCTGACAGTAAATAATAGATACAGCGTTGAAAATTGGGGTAAAGATGTCTTCTAGGTTCGTACCCTTGATAATGGTGTACTGTACAGTATACTATATTCTTCAAGATTTTAATGTCAGACATTTGCTTTAAAGTAAGGAATTCAAATCAGTTGGATGAGTAAGGAATTATCGACTTTACATTAATTAAAGAAATGGTGAGTAAGCCGTTACCTCTGTACCGTCAACACTCTGGCAAATTGTTGAAAATCATTAAACTGTCCCAGTTTAGGAGAAAAGAACGAGGGAGTGATATATAGAGAAGTTTGTTAATGTTTAATGGTTTGTTCTTGATACAACTTAATATCTTATATAGTCCAGTGATGGTTTAGTTTAGTTGCTGAAGTGCTGAAGGTACAGAGGCCACAGACTACTTATTGCCTCTTAAATCATTTAATCAATAATTTTTTCCTTCCTTACTGATATCCATCCTGTCCATTGACGCAAATTTTTTAGTAAAACTCCTGAAGAAAACAAAGCCTTATTTAAGGGTAAGAACCAAGAAGACACTGTTACCAGTTGGGTAAATGACTGTTATTTGTATGTCAACAACATAATGAGAAGGAATTCAGGTTTTTAATATATTATGTCAAAACAGTTGTGAACATTAGCAATCTTTTTTTTTATTCTTTAAAAGACTTTTTATTTTTCAATACCAGAAGAAGCTCAAGGTCAAGCTCCACATGTAAGTGAACAGATGCACTTTAAAACAATATACTGTATATATAACCTATACAGATGTTAATGAAATTGTAAATGTTTCCAAAAGAAATTTATACAACACAAGGACAAGTACTGTACTGTAATCTTTTATAATGAGTAACACTTGTGGGAAGGCTGAAATAATTTTCATTGTGGAACAACAGCCAGAGGTAATCATGAGGCCCTTGTGCCGCTCACTCATAACCCTAGAAAGTATCACTGAAACTGACACATCGTAATAACTATAACAATACTCCAGCAATATTACTTGAATTCAACGTTTAGCTGGCAACACGTGTACCCTCCACCTGCACACTGATGAAGCTGTTCTGTGTGGCCAAGTTCCACCAGTAATTCTTCCTTCTGGTTACCTTAGAGATCCACAGTAGTGAACTGGTCCAACTGCCTTTCACAAACATAATACTGTATACTGTAGTTGTGTAAAGTGTTGCACATCCCCAGTAGTAGCCATGATAAAAAGACGTGCGGGTGATTGACCAGTTAACTTATACAGTTGGTATAAATAAACAGTTATCACTACAACAGTGTTATCAGTGCATTAATGATGCTGCTTTCTAAGTATTACAGTTATACTGTTCACTTGGCCCAGTACTGTACCACCAATGCCTGAATACCATCAGTCAACTTTTTAGAAAATTAAAACTTGTCAGGTGTTTATTAGTTTCACATCTTTGAGCGTACTAACCAAGGTTGCTACTACAGTTAGCTTAGTACAGTTCTTACAGAATTTAACACCACTACAGTAGAGGCTCCCATACACTACAGCATATGTCATCTGTCAGAAAATAAAAAAGAAACTAGCAAGTAAGTGTATGACTGACAGTAGCACATATTATATTGTAGTGTAAACAGATAATTGCTAAAACTCAAGGGTTAGGAGAAACAGCATATAATATTATGTGATACTCACCTTTTGTCAGCTTCTTGCAGTCGTTGTCATTTTGTGTCAATGATTATGGTCTTGTGTAGATGAAGGCTTCGTCCGCATCACGTGCATATAAAAAGTGCTTTTTAACTGAAATATATACAGTATATATAGATAAACTAGCTTGTAACTGTTGTGGAATTTTTCATCATTAAGGTGGTCTTTTGTTTGCTTTGATGGATGGAAACCTTGTGAAGAAATGGATATAAGTTAAGATGGGAGAGAGATATTTGATGGTGAGTGAGGTAATATGTGTTGCATGTTATTTTGACAGAGACTGGCAGGAGGATTGTGCTTCCTTTGATAACACTTAAGACAACCAGAGACTGTTCACTAATGTATATATTTTGTATATATGCCTTAAGGTTACCGAACAATTATATGAATCGAGTGCAATATGACTTACAGTTCAGGGAGACCTAATATTTGGAGCTACAGTCATTGAAGATATATACATACAGTATGTGCATATTTATTTTCCTATATACAGTACATACAGTATGTCATCCTTCACAGCTGGATAGATACATCTCTCATATGCTTCCATTTTGTTTTTGTCTGGAGCCATTCTTGCCCACTGAACATTTCTAGACGTCTATATTTCATGATGCTGTTGAATATGTAATTCAGCTTCCGAAAGAATCTTTTAGCTAATGTTCATTCTTCTTTTCATTTTCCTTCACTGATTTTCTCTTAGGAACATCTCATATTCCATCTCTTCAATTAGTTCTTTATTGTTAATCACTGTTACCTGAGATTTTTTGAGCATTTTAAATATTACATTTATTTTGGAAAAGTCCATTTTGAATCCTCTCCTTTTGGGTGTTGTGTTAAGCTATGGTATGATGTAAATATTAGGTTGCCATCAGCAGCATGACATTAGTTTATTTAAGTGACATTGACTTTAAATGCCTTTTGTTCTAGTTTAATAGCCTAAAATATTTTTATGATACTCAGGTAAAGAACTCTGGAGAAATTGTATGATATATTCCTCTCTGAATTTTAACTCAAATGCTGTCCTTGTGAAGCTAGAGGTTAAATATATTTTCCCCTGTTTTCTGAGAACATTTGTAACCTTACAGTGCAGCACAGTACAGTACTTACATCAGGGAAAGCCTTTTCATGGTTTGTGAATTTTAAAGAATTCTGTAATTGTGTTACAATTTCTTTTAATACTTGATCGTTCCCCCAGTTAATTGAAGCAGTTGCATATGAATTCTTTGTATATACATTAGTAAAAACATGTGTATGTATTGGTAGAACAATAATTGTTCTGTAGTTTTTCTTAGTATTGTAATTTTAGAATAATGACATAATCAATTTTCTAATTGTTTTGTAAATTTCATTGTTTAATGTACTTTTGTACATACTGTAAGTGTACAAACCATTTACAATCTTTCCCTTCTTTTTGCAATGTAAATTGATTCATCTCCTGATCATGTTTCCCAGTTCTTTGTGTATTTATTGATGATCTATTTTCTGGGAGAACAATTGACATCTCTTCAATGATGTCTTTCATTCTTCTGTCTTTATCAAACAGAATCTCACCCTTTACAGACCTCTTCATAAAACTCTACATCCTTTTGACAGCTACTTCCTTTATTATTATAGTTTCTAGTTTGAAGAATAGGAGGAATGAAATCAAATTTTCATATATTAAGTTTGTCTTTTTATTTTTGGTGTGAATTCTTCCTGTTTTTTCCCTTGCAAAGTGTTGATAGTTGATCATATACCCTACTTGAGAATTTCTATAGTAATGTTTGACAGATTTTGACAAGTTTTTTTTCTTGTATAGCTCCTGGTGTCTGACACAAGCCAACACCATCTATCAGTACATTTTCCATTCACTCACTTATACTGTACTTGCTTCCTGGATATTTTTGTCCCCAACTTTTCACTGCACATACAGTATTGATCTCAAGTGCGTCAGTTTGTTCATTTCAATTTGGTGTTTCATCTTCCATCTGGAGTCCATGGTTGGTAATGTCGGTTCAGTGTTTCTTTATAAATCCCAAACTTTGCCTCCCTTCACACAGTCCTCTGGCTCTGCACACTTTTTTAATACATCTCTTGATTAATTTCCTTCTGTTCTGTGGTTCAGTTTGTCTCCCGTTCTTCCATTCGCTGATACATCCATTCCTGGATGTTTGAAGCATCACACTTCTTCCATTCTGTCTCCATTCAAGTGAACTTTTGGTTCTCCCTAACCCTATTTAATTTATTTTACTTTCCATTTTAAATGAGAATAATGATATAAGAGGCTAATATTTACACAAAAAGAAGAAAAGGCAAGATGTTGTGAAACAGATCTTACTTGATCCAGTTTAATGGGAATTTCATTTCAATATACTGTACAGTACAGTACAGTACAGTGAGAATTAACAGGAGAGTCCTAATTCACGTACATGTAAGTATGTGTGTACAGGAAAATTTATGTTAAAAAAAAAGCTTTTGTATCCAAGGCCATGATGGAAAAGTGATCGTCAGTTTGTTTATGTAACATAATAACAAATTGCTTACCACTGCTTATGTTGTAAAGTATTGTGTAGTAAGCTGGAATTATCCATACGAAAATTTATGGACTTATAAAAATGTATTTATTGTAAATAATATAATTTGAACTCTATATTCATTCTTGGGAACTAATTTGACTTTGAGCTTGCAGATGTAACATAGACTAGTTTGCATGGTTTTGTTTGTTTGTGTTTTTAATAGAAAGTGCAGTCTATACAGATGATTATTTCCTGTGAAAAATAGATTTTAGTACTATTTAAAGTGTTGATGCACAACTTTGTTATTATTTATTGTGTTGATAGCCAATTTCATGAGTGCTGGATAAGGCTTTGCTTCAACCAGTGGCCAGGAGTACTTGTGTATGTGGGCTGGCAAAATTTGTACATGAAGAGTACACTCTCGGTGTAATGTAGGTCAGTGTGGCACAGTGTGGTGTTGTAGTCACAGTGTTCCATCATGTATACATTTGTAAAGCTTGTACAGCAGGACACGATACACAGCACACAATCTGAAGACTTAAGACCCACCAGTTCTACAAATCAGGAATATGTGTTGCAGCAGTCCATCACGCCGCACCTGATGCTGTTAACTGTGCCCACGTGACACCTGGTGTGCTCATCATCCTGGATCGGCTCCACTTCCCTTGTTTGTACAGTACTCCTGTGCTACAATAGAAACAGATGAAACATTAATTACTGTACAGTTGTATGACGAGAAATGTCTGCAAATCTAGGAAATAGACACCTACTGTTGTGATATTTGCAATTTCTATTTATAGAAATAATTTACAGTCAGTTTGACATTTCTGAAATGCTGACAGGATACTTTCCTCAACAAAAAAAACAAACTAATAAAATCCCAGGTTTTCTTTTGGTGCTCAGAAGTACAGGTACATTGTTACCAGTACTATTTATTTGTGAAACCATAATAAACTGAAGTGCCCTAGTGAGGCATTTTTTGTGCTCAAGGTGTAAGGAGCAGCAGAATTGACTTAGATAGCTACAGTTTGTGCATCTACAGGGCCGAGGATCCAGTATCTCGTGTTGTTATGAGACATGAGCTATTTCCTAGGGAGAGCATCACCCATCTATGAAGCCTTTCATGGATTTAGGTCTCGTGCATAAATGTCACATGTCTACAGTTGTTAATATAAATGACATCTTCATAATTGTTTCCCACTGCTCATGTAGTTCAACTGTGTTGTTAAGAAAAGACATTCTTGAGCAGTTGGATAAGTCATCATTATCATGAACGGTAGCTAGGCAGGTGAGGGAACACCGTAGTGTTCAGGGGAAGAGGATGAACTAACCAGATGCTCCAGAAATCCTTTTAAACACCCCAATAGGCACCCTCCCATCAAGAGACATCTGACACACTGGAATAAATATAGCCAAGTATGTGATGGCGTTTTTATTGTCCTATTTGGTGTAACATATCCACAAGAGTCCACATCTTCAGGGCGCTGCTTGGCATCCCCCCTAGTTTAGGAGAAGGCAATAGAATGTTACTTAATATCCTTCATTCACTTGTGAGACAATTATTTGATCAGTAAAAGATGGGGTTGGCTTGTAAAGTTTTTACACATACTGTATATTCAGAGATCTCAAATTGTACGAAGCATTATATATTCATCCAAAGTTTCTCCTGTCGCCTCTCGGATATTTTTGTGCATTCAAGATGAAGATGTCAGGTAGTAGGCAGCTATCAAACGGGGAGGTACTACCGCCTGGGAAGATATTGGAAGCATAAAGTGTTGTCTAATAGTAGACCCTACTTCCATATGGCATCACAAAAATTTTGACCAAGTCCAGGTTGCTGATCTGACTGACTTTCTGCCTCATTTACACACAATTGTAGGGTCTCCAGTGTTTCTCATACTTTGACAACACAACATATACAGTATAGTCTGCATTTACGCGGATTTGGTTTACGCGTTTGGTCATTTACGCGGCACCTTGCCAGAATGAAAATTTTAAGTTATGCGGTTCATTCCATCATTTATGCAGGAAGCGGCACCTGGAGGGTGCACATTAGGTCGCTCTTACGTTATTGCTGACGTCATATGACGTATCGGACTGTGATTGGGCCATGCATCCTTACCTCCCTCCGCCGCTAGCTGTGATTGGTCTAATGTAACATGACGTGCCCTGCCACCAGAGGGAAGAAGTCGCTGACCTAGCAGTGCCAGTCTCATTGCTCTCAGTTCTCCTCGTATACTATTCTCTCTTGTGCCCGCCACCCCCAAGAAACCTTGAACTACCTGGACCAAGCCATGGTTATGTGAAGGAAGTCATCGAGTTGGGGGAGAAAATCAAGCTCATCCTTGACAAAGACACAGTCAAGCATCGGTATGAAGTGCCTAATAACCTTCTGTCAAAAATTATGGAGCTGTATGTCCAGATGTATCACGACAACATCAATACCAGTAGTCAACGTAGTATTACGGACTTCTTCGCCCGCAACCCACCACAACCACAGCCAGCCCAAGTCAGTGATAGTGACAGTGAGGATATGGACTTTGAGGGGTTTGTCAGGGAGGCCCTGCAAACCTCTGTGAATAGTGATAGTGATTCACCGGAGGGCCACTAATCTGCTCTCTGCCTCGGAACCAGCCGCCATCCACGTGTGCCGACCCATCTCTTCTACTAACGTAAGTGTTAATAAAACCTTTATATTTGTAGTTTTTTATTTAGATATTATGTGTGTGTCAATACCATCATAAAATTATGATGTTATTTTTACTACAAGGTACGTATTGTGTCGGAAAAAGTGGAGTTTGGGAGTCGGCCCAGTCTCTATTTCAATTAATCCCATGTTATTTCGTTTATGCGTTTCTCGTTTTACGTGGACCTCCACGGGATCAATTGATCGCGTAAATGCAGACTATACTGCATATCGTTTCTCACACAATCTGTTTTATTTATTTTTTTAATTTCTGTGTTTATTTATGGTTCAATTTAGGGTTTTTCACCATTCAGGCACCACTGATGTGGGTTGGTGACCTGTTCTCAGGTGGGTTAATCCCCCTACAAAAAAGCTTGTAACAATATACAGATCTTCACTTATTTACTGTACAGTATATATATACTGTATAATGCAATGCTATGACCTGTGTATTTAAACATGACCACTTGTGCTGGTAATTTGTTCCACACATCCTCAGTAACTAGTAAATTATTAATAAATTTAATTATCCTCATCACCACATACCACCAGCTTACAAATCGATCAGGCAGTTAGTCAGTCTACCTTGCACACTTTTGGCAGGTCCTGGAGGTGTTCACTTTCTTTAATGTACCAGATTATGTTACAGTTCTACACTGGCAGCTCCAGTTATAAATTTCAGTTATGATGGTGCAGTTCAATTTCCCAAGGTTTAGTCTTTAATTCACCTGTAACAACCAAAAAACATTTAATATACACAATACAACATTACTGTTTATGATTAAAAGATGTCCATGAATGAATAGTCATTCAGTACAGTAGTAAGACTGACAAATACTTGGATGGTGGTGGTAGTGGTAGCTCTTGTTCTATGCTCCAGTTGATCATTTTCAGCTGTGATGGTAAAGTTGAAATTCCCAAAAGCTTCTGTAACACACAAAATATCATATATACTACAGTACAGTACAAAGAACTTGGGGAGGTTAGGTTAGTTTAGCATTTGAGCAATTGTTTACCATATGAAATAAGCTGGGGTATCTAATTGTGATGTTATATTTTTTTTCATCTGAGGTTCTAACAAAAACCAGCCAGTAATGATACAGTCAGTGACGTCGTGACAAACTTCACAAGTGAAGTATAAACAAGTCATTCAATTTATATATTGAAGTAAAATATTGCAGAGTTGAAGGTGAGGTGAAGTTAGCTTACTACAAAGTCAAGACTATATTGTTGGTAATCGCTAGGAATATTGGAAGTTACATAGCTGGGATATTAAATTAGGAAGGAGAAGTCGTGTAACCTGATATATGAGTCGTCAGTACGGTTCCTTTGGCCAAACCTAAATTAACTATTAATGAAAACTTGGCGTGCTAATTGTGTATCACGCAGTTCAGCTAGGACAGGCTTCTACACCAGTTCTTCATCACTGCAAGCAAGGTCCCCCCCCCCCTGCAGTCGGGGGAGGAGGACCCCGATGACCCCAACTCTGCGTCTAATTAAGGTAAGCACACAGGTAGATAGGTTAGGTTTTTAATTATTCTGATCTTCATTTCTATCGCAAATTACTACTTTTTCGTAATTTATCCCCCACCCAAAACCCCAGGTTACCACTGGGGAACCCCCATTATTGCTGGATAAGGAGGGTATCAAAAATAGTGATTAGCGGTAAAAATGAAGATCAGATTCGTTCAAAAACCATCAAAACTCATCGGAATAACAAATTCAACTTCCAACAACTTAGAAAAAATACGATGATTTTCCCAGCAATTCATTGCGATTTTCTCTGGAAATAATCATGAGAAGAAATGCTGGAAGAAAATTATGAGAATTGTCTAAACTACCGATTCCAAAACTTAAAATCCTAAAATTCGCTGGATGACCGAACCGATAATTTTACCATTGTAATGTTGGTATTGCTCTATTGTTAATCCTTACAACTCTTCTTGGTACTGGCAGTCCCTGCAGTTTATATTTCAAGTTATCAAACACGGGCCTCAAAATGCCAATTGCAAATTTGGGCATTTTTAGTATTTATAGTCTTTCCTCTTGCGTGAGTGAATCCATCCTCTTCTCAGTTCTTTATCCTTCGGAACGTAATAGAAATTTATATCTGGTCTTTAAACTGGGATCAACACCCAAAGGCTGGGCACGTGCTCGTCATGTTTGTTGTTATTGTTAAAGGTTATCGTGTGACGTCACGAGTTAGTTTTACAGCTGCTCTTTTCTACGCACTACCATATAGAATTTAAGGATATTTACTCTAACAAAGTAATTCATGATGGCATGTGATTATAAATTCGAAAATAAAATTTCTAAGAATGTTATTATAAACTAGATAAATAAGCATGTGTAAATTAAGAGTTATCCACAATAATCTGTCTTCAGGAATAAGGGAAATCAGCTGAGCGAGTTGTTCTAAGCACAGTTTTGTACCCCAAACCTCTATGCATGAAACAAGTCTTAATTGTAGGTGATAAGCCTTTTTTCTGGTAGTTTCTAGTAACTTCATTAACGAGTACTATCATTATTCGCATATATATCAAATGAGATGTATAAAAATCTATGGATAACCGTGTTGTATTGTCACATCCTTTTAATGTGATAAAATGACACCCATAAAGAATAGTAGAGAAAATGTGAAAGTGCGAAAGTGCATAAATTTAATGAGATTGAATTAATATACAGTACACTACTTTGTATTGCTTCCGGACGGATGAATTAAAAGTCAGCCTTGGTAGTACATGCAGTAATATCTCCTCACCCTAAGTGGATTTACATAAAATATAATCGCATTATATCTTGAAATCCACATATTCCTAACTTATATAAGTATCATACAGTATAAAGAAAATGGTTTCATATATAGAAACATGGGTCCTTCATTTCCACTAGGGGTTTGGTGTGTGGGGGAGTCAGAGAGAAGTGTTGTTAGCTGAGTGATACTGAGGCAACAGGAGGCTGACGGGCGTACGACGGAGGCTGACGGGCTTTAGATCTTGTAACACACAACTCTCGTGCTAGTGGCCGTCACCCTTATGGGCATTGGAATTTACAAGTATTTCGGGCGTTGTGGCCAGTATAGGCCAGGAAGATAACAACCAGGGCCAGAGACGGCGAGACCAAGTTAACATACAGGTAAGTGAGCTGAGTGTATCACCACCCAGCAACAAACTTCCTGCTGAACAAATGTGTACACCCACTTAATACAGTTACCGTAGACTCTTGTATGTGGTTACACTGAATTAAATTCTCTTTTTTATTAGATATATACAGATAATGGTGGTGTATCATAAAGTGTTGAAAAGATTTTAAAGCATTGGCAGTAGAAGTATGAGTGGCTCAGGTTATGTAACTGGAAAGTTATTCTATTTTTTATAATAATAAAGATCCTGAGTGGTGTTGATACAAGGTAGGTTTCTTTGTTTGGTTTGGTCAGGTTCTATTATATTCTAGTAAATGTTGCCTCTTTTAAAATACTGTAATGATAAGAACATGTGTAAAAATTTAAATATTCATTAACTTTTCTGGTAAAAATTTCATTGTAACCATGCACGGAAATTTTGTTCAAAAATTTATTTTTATAGTGCCTTTAACTCTTTTCACACGAATATAACTACAGTACTCATTTCTGTCAGAAATGAGTAGTTATGGAGATGTGACCCCTCCGTAATTAACAACATTACTGTATTAATTTATTGGTTGGACTATGTGGACAGGGCTTTAAAGTAGAGGGAAATTGTGGGGTAAACATTTGAAAGATAAAACCAAACCTAATCTAACCTAACCAAAACTTACCTTAATTATCAGATAGAGTATAATGTCACTTGGAGGAGGAAGTGGTGCAGTATGGTGCTGTGATCTTTATGATGAGCCTGGAACATGTACCGAGCAAATTTGTAGCGGTAATGCTCTTTCTTGTTGCCAGCATGAAGCACCCAACTTTTTTGTCCTTCCACAGATCTTCTATATTTTGCATGTGAATGCTAGTAGAAGTATCCACAAAGTTCTTACTTGTTCTTTGGGTTTAATCAATTTCACTGAGGGTACTGTAAGCCCGGTCCGACTAATTACCCAAATGTACCCAAATGTAGCCGGAATGAAGTCAAATAATGGTCCTAGATGAATAAATCGGACTGCCAATCACTTCTCGACTAGTATTTGGTGTCAGAAAGTCACAAAAAATTGGAAAACTTACTTTAATCTGAGTTAATAGATCGCGTGCATGTACCGACGGAGTGAGGAATTACCCAAATGTAACCGCAATGAAGTCAAATGATGGTCGTACATGCGTAATTTGGGCTGTGAATCACTTCTCGATTATTATTTGGTGTCATAAAGTAAAAAAAAATTGGTAAACTTAATTTAATCTGAGTTGTGTTGTGTTGTGTTAGGTTAGGTTAGGTTAGGTTAGGTTAGATTAGATTAGATTAGATTAGATTAGATTAGGTACATGCACTTGATCTATTAACTCAGATTAAATTAAGTTTACCAATTTTTTTTTACTTCGTGACACCAAATACTAGTCGAGGTTAGGTTAGGTTAGGTTAGGTACATGCACTCGATCTATTAACTCAGATTAAATTAAGTTTACCAATTTTTTGTTACTGTGACACCAAATACTAGTCGAGAAGTGATTGGCAGTCAGATTTATTCATCTAGGACCATTATTTGACTTCATTGCGACTACATTTGGGTAATTCCTCGCTTTGTCGGTACATGCACGTGATCTATTAACTCAGATTAAAGTAAGTTTTCCAATTTTTTGTGACTTTCTGACATCAAATACTTGTCGAGAAGTGATTGGCAGTCCGATTTATTCATCTAGGACCATTATTTGACTTCATTGCGACTACATTTGGGTAATTCTTCGCTTTGTCGGTACATGCACGTGATCTATTAACTCAGATTAAAGTAAGTTTTCCAATTTTTTGTGACTTTCTGACATCAAATACTAGTCGAGAAGTGATTGGCAGTCCGATTTATTCATCTAGGACCATTATTTGACTTCATTCCGGCTACATTTGGGTACATTTGGGTAATTAGTCGGACCCCTGTAAGCCCTCCAAAGGCCAATATGAATCACACTAACCACTTTTACTAAATGTTCAATTAGCTGTATGAGGGTATCAGCACTGCAGTTCGGCATTGATATGATGAATTTACATTTCAAAAGTTTCTATGCCCCCTAATGCCAAATACCCAAAATCCATGATCATGTGGGATTACTTAGAATCGCCTTACACAGGCATGCAAATAGCAGTGTGAACCAAGCTAACATAACCTGATAATAAGTTACTTTAGTAAACTGTAGGAGAAGAACCCTTGTACTTACTATATACAGTATAGGAATATTGTCTTAAATCTGAACTGTATGTAGTGAATACCAACTTGTGTACGTAAAATACATTATACCCCACGTGTATCCTAGAATAATAATAATTAAATCCAATTGGTAGTAAATGCTATGAACTTAATGGAAAATAAGGTTAAAAGAAGACACTGTACAGTATTGTGAATATTGTACTGTACAGTATTTCATTTTACACAGGCAGTCACTGGTTTTCGAACTTAACGTGTTCTTGAGAATGTGTTTGTAAACCAGGTGAGCGGAGCAAATACATGTACAGGGGGTCCCTGACTTACGAGCGCCCGCCGATATGAACGGAATTAAACTTGAAATTTACAGTACTGTATTTATTTACCTGATGACTTAATTTTTACTTTCATTTACTGTATTTTGTCATTCTCTTTCTTCTTTTGTCTTAAATTAAGTGATATTAAATGTATATAAGGTCTTTGGCTATGATATAGTGGAATTTTAAACATTGTTCTGTAAGTACGGTATGCACATGGCATGTGTTCCGACTTACGTACAAATTCGACTTAAGAACGTCCTCAGGTACGGAACCTGTTTGTAACCCGGGGACCCCCTGTACTATATTCAAAAGGCCGAAACATGGTCATAAAGTATAGTGTTAGCTTGAGCGGATGTTTTAATGCTGGATGTTTAGAAATCAGGGATTTCCCGTACAGTATACAGTACTGTACAATTTTTTTTTTAAAGGAAATCTTTTGCAAACGATCTATAAATACAGTTTGTAATCAAATATGAACAAGTCACAATGCCAATTTTTTTTATATTGTCTCAGTGGCAAGCAGAGCAGCTTCTGCCACACCATCATAGAATCACAACTTATCACAGCACCAAGTAGCCAGTGAACTGTGACTTCCTCCAGCAAAATTAATAAAAACAATACCTAACTCTGTCTGCTAATACCCAGAACAAAGCACAATTTACAATTGTATAGGATGAACAGGCTTACAAAGGAGTTATTTAAATACTGTAGTGTTCATTATATATAGAAGGCTTTCATGTTCCCACACCATAGATAGGACACATAATAGGCTCAACTCTCAGTGTTATCAATACAATGGGTACTGAAATACTGTACAAGTATAGAATGAGATCATTATCCAAACCTATACTGAAGGTATAAGACAAAACATGATGGGAGTGTATCATGATTAATTACCATGGACAAAAGGAAAACAATGCAGTCATATTTGTGCTCTCATCTAATACTGTAGCTATTAAAGTGACAATTTCCAATTTTATTTTGCCAGTTTCAGATTTTGTACACCCTGTATTCCAATCACTGTAAAATAATAGTTAATGTATATAAGAGATACTAAAACTACTTGCATGAGCTCTTGATACATTATAACACAATTTTATAAATAGAAATATTGTACAGTAGTTGAATATCTTCCAGTCATATTCCAGACAGTACCTTACCCATGGTTGTACAGTAGTTGTTTGATATGAGAGTAATTCTAGTTTACGAGAGTAATTCTAGTTTACGAGAGTAATTGTAGTTTACGTATCTTTGAGAGTGATTAGTAATACTGTACTGGGGAGCCGGGGAGCTGTGTTTGATTATGTGACATGGTGACCTGCTACCTGAAGTGTTGTGTCATGTCTTAGCGAGATGTCGGTTTTGTAATAGGAAGTTCTTCTTAAGAGGAATATTTGGGTAAGTAAAAAGCTATGGCCAGTATTTCTTAGAGTCTACCCGTAAAGTAGATGAAACCTGACTACAGTGTAATTATAGTGTTCATCTATATTACAGCAATTATGGTAGCTACTCTAGCCAAACAATGGTAAACAGAAACATCCTTATTTAATCTTATTATGCCAGTACAGGACATAATTGAAGAAGTA